CGGGGCGGGGGAGCTGCGGGCGGGGGCGGTGTCGCGCGTGTTGCGTGTTTCATGCTGCGTGTCGTGTGCGCGCTGGTGGTGGGTTGTGTGTTGCACGTTGCGTGGTGTGTGCACCTCGGAGCGGGTGTGCTGTGCGTGGGTGGCGTGGGGTGCGCACACTGGGGGCGGGTGTCGTGTGCATGGGTTATGTGGTGTGTGTGTTGCATGGTGTGTTCCAGCCAGGAGTGAGTGTCATGTGTGAGGTGTCATATGTGCTAGGGATGGGTGTTGTGTACATGCATTGCGTGTTGTGTATGCTGCAGGCAGGTGTCATATATGTGCCACAAGCATATTGTGGAGGAGATGAGGTGGGTGTTGTGTGTGGGGGTGTCGTGTCCAGTGTGTCAGGAGATGGTTGGGTGTCATGGGTGGTGTCATGTATGATGGGGACAAAGGGAGATGCCCTGCAAGTGGGTCGTGTGTTATATCAGTGAGAGGACGGGGCAGGTGTGCTGTACGCAGGGATGTTGCCGTGGGGGGGTGCCGGGTGTGGGGTGGGCGTCCTGCAGGGAGAGTGCATGTTACATAAGGCAGGAGGCTAGAACAGGTGTCATGTATGAACGGGGATGTTGTCATGCATTTGGATCGTGTTGTGTTTGTGTGTGCTGGCTCTGTGTGTGTTGTAGGCAGGTTCAAATTATGACTGGGGTGGGGGCGGGGCATCCGAATGCCCTAAGGGAAGGAGCAATCTGATAGGAGATCCCTCCAGGTTATGATTTTAAAATCTAATAGGGGCGCTCTTGTCTCTTATGGAGGGACTCAGCCCCCATAATTTGAACCCTAAGTGTGGGCCATCTGTATGGAAAAAAAGCGGAGAGCTGGGATACAGCAGGACTCTGTGCCCTGAACTGGCTCCAATGCACGGTTTCAATTAGATTTTCCCCTCTTTATTCTCAAAGCAGAGAAATTCCCATGAGCTGCTGGTTGAAAATGTTTCCCAGATACAGGTTATAGTTTTGAGGAATAACTAGCATCATGGTAATTTGGCCTGGCTTTGTGGTGCGTAAAAGAAAACAAGCTCTTGTTCCCTGTGTCAGGTTGAATCAAAGTAATGTGTTTTGGAGCATATACATCTGAACTGATAGCAAGTAAACTTGCTTAATGAGACTATACTAAACCTTACAAGGATGCTAAGTAGGACATTGTGCAAGGGGAGCATTGATTCTGCTTAGGCCTGTGGATATGCCTGTAATAGATTTCTTACCTCAAGTGAATTGCAGTGAATTAGCTCAAAGTTAAAAATGTCTAGTGAGGATAATAATCTGTGCAAGAAAAAACAGAATATGCAGGTATTAGTCCTTGAATAACAATTTAATGCAGGTGTTTGTTGCTTCTGGAGGACAGTTAGCTTGTCAGACCTTTGAGGTTTTTTTCCCCATTATCAATGATAACATCAGACAGTCTGATTCCAGAGTTTATTACTACACACAAAGCTGTTTGAGGCAAAGTACAAATTCAAACATAACTTGATCAGTTCCCTAATAAGAAAAATCCTCCACTAATACAGATAATGTACAGCTTGTCCCTGGTTAGCTGTTACATATATCTTTTTAAGTGAATAATGTTGGGCCATTGCAAAGTCTGTCATTGATGCCACAATTAACCATAAATAAATCTATCAGCTTCTCCTAAAATACTTTTAGATACCATCAAGGCAGCAGTGTTATTGGTTGTTTCCAGACCTTCAGAGATGCTGTCAGTTTAAATTTATAACAAATTAGTTTACTTGTTACAATCCAACTGTAAGTATTAAAAGCAAGGGACAAAATTAAGTTACCTTTCACTGTGTTGGGTAATGCAAGGGAATTATTCATAGTCCATTGCAGGTTTGTGTAATTAGGAGGTGGGAAAGGACAAGGATCCAAGTCTTCAGTTTCCTTGGGCATTCAGCAGGTTCTTGTGATACGTGAACGTAGAGACAGCTCTGTTACATTTCAAGTTGTGTATCTTATTGCTTAAAATACAGTCACACAGATGGTACTGTTCTGATGTATGTTATTGAAAGGACACATTCATTTATTAAGAGAAATTAAAAAGAAATCCAGGTTGTCATCGTATGCCCCTTTTTTTACTTTTCCCACAGTCGAGGGTTAATGGAAAGTTAATTTTGTCCGTTTCCTTTTTGTTTGTTAAAAGCCCAGTTTCATCTGCAGACTCTGTTAGCCTTACAATGTTTTCCTTTCCAGCTGTTTAGGGAAATGGTTATTTCAAATCTGAGTTGACATAATTTTTTAATCAAAGCAGTGTTTTGGGTGATGAAAATTGAGAGGGGTTGGAATTTGTTCTACTAGATGTATAGTCTAAGAGCCTGACCTCAAACTGTGAATAACTCCCTTGACTTCAATGAGAATATGCACGGTTTTAAGCACCGAGCCTGATAATATATGTGATACTTTGGAAGACTGTAGAATTACAGTACATGGTTTAGAGTTCTGCTACTGCCATGATGGGCCAGGAACCATGCATGAAGCAGGGCGGGGTAGTTGTGTTCTCTTTTTATGGGACCAACTTTACTCCTTGGGCCCAAAAGCTTGTGTAATGTCTTTCCCAACTATACATTCGGTCTCATACAAGATAACACCAAAAAACCCTTGCGGCTTGCAGAACTATATGATTATTTTGCAAATATCACATGCCAGGACTGCAGAGTTCTTCACCACTTTATAGCCATGATCTTTCAAGGAACCTATTCTGAATGTGCCTGTCAGCAGCAAATTGTTCTGGAGAAAGATGGGAATTTGTTTTTTTTGGTTATAGTATTAGCCAAGTGTGTGTATTGTAAATAGTTTTTGTGTTTTCTAGTTGTGTTTTGTTTGTCACTTGAGAGTGCTGTTCAGTTTAATTATAAATCAACATATACAATTGTGGCCATTTAAAAAAATCTGATAAGTATTACTTGAAAAGCTTAGGTAAAGAGAACCATGAAGTGTAATAACTTGCAATTAAGATTTCCCTGTTAAATGATGCATGTCTTTGATGTTGAGCATTCTTCTTGGTAATGATGTATAATAATAAAAGAAATCACACACGCTCTATTTCAAGCCAACAGTACAAATTGATTTTTTTCAGATGGAAAAATAATTTGGTCAAAAGTTTCACTCCTCAGTGCTAAAAGTTAGGTACCAAAATAAGAAGTGACCCGGCATTCAAAAGTGCTATCCTCTGCTGAAATCGATGCAACCTTCTGTTAGTACATCTATTGACATCAGTGGGATCTGTCGGTGCTCAGCATCTTTGAAAGTCAGGTCCCTTTGACCTCTTGTCTTTATATTTTGACTCTTTATTTTAAATAATAAAAAAGTAGATATGTAAGATCTTGTGTATTCACTAGTTGTTCGTTCAGCGAACATGGAGGCAGTTCTAGTACTACAGGTAGTGGGCAAAGTAATGGAGAAATAATACTTGGCCTAGGCAGTTTAATCTTCTATGTAATTATAAAGATTTCAGCAATTTACTGTGCGGGCCGGCTCCCGATCTCGGGGGCGAGCCAGGCCCGTCTTTGTGCACACAGGCTGTGGCCAGCAGCCCGGGCACGCGGGGACGGAGAAAACCGTGGCGCGGTATGGTACGCTCGAGCTAGAATCAGTCACGGAGGCGTAATGGTTGATTGAAAAGATTATTTACCTACACCCAAGGTGGTTGCGGTGTAGGCTGGTCAGCTTTCCAGGCACAGCTCCGCTTGAGTTCTCGGTGGAGGACTCTGATAGACTCGGTTCCTTGACCCCGGAGTGGTTTAAGCTCCGCGGGTTTAACAATTCTCTCTCACGGAGCAGCTGAATCTCTGTGGGTTTCACTCGGTTCCCAGGTCCCCTGGAGCTGTTAAGACTCCGTGGGTTCGACAATTGGGTCCGTAGGATAGGGATACGTCTAGGATTGCGGTCGGCGACGGGGAGAGGCTAGAGGTTATGTGCCTCGGAGTTGTTAAGGCTCCGAGGGTTCGGAAATTAGGTCCCCCGGAGTTGTTGAAGCTCCGTGGGTTCGACAAAGTAAACCTCTGTTGCCCTCTTAAGGAAAAAGCTGGGTTCGAAGGGATCAGCAGCGCTTGGAGATTCTCACGCTCCTTTCCCGAACTCCACGTGCTTTCTCTCTCTCCGACTTGGGCGGAAACTGCCCAAGCCTTTTGTACGGCTAGCAAGCCAAATAGCTAGCCGCCACGTGTGCCTACATTTAGAACCGGCCAGTAACGTGGCACGAATCTAAATACAAATGGCAGGAACTCCTTTGCATTGTACATCACGATAATGCAAAAGAAATGCACGATGCAAAGAAGGCTACAGAACTGGCGGGAAAAACTCCTGCACGCGGGGTCTTAATTGCAACAGAACGCTCCACCGTGCAAAAGAGCTGCAATTTAGCGGGAACACAATTTAGCGATGCCGAAGCGCACACAAACAAGAAAATCACAACTTTGGGTTGTGACATTTACCACACCCACCAGCATTACAGCATACTGTAGCAATACTTATGCATGTGGGAAACAGTTCTGTGACAATGATAACATCTAGATCCACCCACAATTAAGAAAAGGTTTCTGTTTATGCTGGAGATGAGCAAATCTAATATGGTTTTATTGCTTGTTTCTTGCACATCCAAAACTGTCTGTGACCTCAGTGAGAAGCTGTTCTCAATGTAGAAGGAATGCTGAATTGGGTCCTGTCAAATGTGATGTTCCTAGATGGTTTCAAAATAGCGGGAAAGGATTCTTGGAGGCTAAAAAACTGTGAGAGAGAGAAAATTTATTAGCCCTAATTATGAAAGTGGAAGTATGACATCCATTCTCTTCTTCCTTGTCTGGCCTGCTATTTACCACTCCCAACTTTTCTTAGGGACCTGAATATGTTGATTTTAATAGATTGAAGAATAAAAGTCATTTGATGTGGGCCTTTGGCTGTCGCACAAAATAGAAATATTGGTGCCAGCTAAAGCTGGAGGTAAGGGAATTGATGTAGCTGAACTGATATAATCCACCCAGTTAATCATTCTGCTGTGATCATGTGCACAATGGTGTTGGACTTGCTCTGGGGAAATTCTGACAGCCCACTCCCCCGGCTGCAGTGTACTTTTTAAAAATGCTAGAAAATTGCCTGTATGGAAGCAGCCTCCTTTGGCAGGGAAAATGGGCATATTGAGTTCAGGGCTTTGACATCTCTAATTTCTGGCAGTGAAAAGCTAGGGGTCTCTTGTGGATGTTCCTTAGGGCTACCTATTGCTGTTGGTGGGCACAGTCTTACCATATAAATTATTATTATATTATAATTATCAATATACTTATTAATATAATAATTATTATATTATAATTATTTTGTGTTCCTTAATGGTGTATCTCAAATTTTCTGCAGGTACAGAAGCTGCTGTGTATGTGCCCAGTGGATTTCCATGGGGTTTTCCAGCTAGATGAGCGCCGCAGGGATGCTGTGATAGCTTTGGGGATTTTTCTTGTTGAATCTGATCTTCAGGTAAAATTTTCTTCCTCAGTTAACCACCTCTAGCTGAAGGACTCTTGAATAACTCTCAGCAAGATTGCTGACTGAATTGTAGGTGTTTGGGGGATGGGTTTTGTATGACTTCAGCACTGAGGAGTCTTAATGATAAGCCATGATTCCATTGGCTAAACTAGGGGTGGCCAAAATATGGCCTGCAGGCCAGATCCAGTCCACCAGGCGCTTTCATCTGGCCTACGGACACCCACCAACGAATTGTACCCTGCCCAGCCCTTCCACCCAAGAGAATGCGAGTAAGGTGCCCATGTATACAGTTTCCCCCACAACATACTCTACTGCGCCTCACTTCACCCTTGTGGGCAGCAGGGCCTGGCCCAGCCAACAGCAGCTTCCAGGTGTGGCTGCAATGGTGGCTGTGGCTGCTGCAGCCGTGCCAGGGGGACCTGCTGGGCTTCTCTGGCATCCCGCTTGTTCCTAGGAACAGGTAGGGAAGTGGCGGGGGTGAGCTGCAGCTGATTGGGGCTGAGCATGTGGGGCTGGCAGCAGCGCAGAGCTGGTGCCCCGGGGGCAGCGGGAGCACAGAGCTTGGCTGACTAGGCTGTGTTTGTGAGGGAGTGTGGTGGGGGGGAGCCTCACACCTCCCTGCGTAGTGCGCAGCTCCTGCTGTGGGCAGCAGCAGCAGGCAGGGGTGCTTGGGGTGCTTGTGCCTCACACAGGTGCTGGCACCCAGCGGTATGCAGCTTTGGCCAGCACTGTATGTGGTGGCAAGGAGCGCAGCCTGTCTGGGTCACCTCTATCATGTGGGCCTCCGTGCCATGCACCTGCAGCCCCCACACTTGCGCAGTACTGAGGGAAGCCCTGCGCTGGAGCTGGCTGCCTTCCCCGCCCCCTGCCGAGCAGGTCCCGGGACTCTGCAGGGAACCAGGGAGAGGGTTCCCCTCCACTTCCAGCAGAGTCCCAGGACCTGGGTGGCAAAGGCAGCCAGCTCCAGTGTGGGGCTTCCTCAGTACTGCGCAAGTGTGGGAGCTGCAAGCTCAGAGCCCCTGCAGTAGAGGTGGGCCAGGAAGGGTGTGCTCCTCACCAGGATGTGCAGCACTGGCCAGAGCTGGACGCCACGAGGCGCCAGCGCCTGCATGGGGCACAAGTGCACAGAGTACCTGTGCCTGCTGCTGCTGCCTGCAGCGGGGGCTGTGTGCCATGTGGGACCCCCACACACTCCCCCAGCCTCCCTTACACCCCACAAACCTCACCTACACCCTAGCCCTCCAACCCCCCACATATACACACACCCCAACATACCCTAGGCCACTGCCTCACAAACCCTCCATACGCATCCACCCCACCCCCCATACCCTACCATGCACCCCCCCACACCCCATCCTACACATACACACACCCCTGCCCCAACCACCCCCATATACAAGAATAATACTTTATTTTTTAGTTATTATGCATTTCCCTTTATATACAGTACACAAATACAAAAACATGACAGATATTTTTTGTAATAAAGTATGTTATAGTAGGTATTTGACATTTAGTGTATGATTTGGTTTTTTTCTGGTTCCAAAATGGCAACCCTCCCCTCCCAAAAGGAGCATTTCTGTGGCAAGGTATTAGTATTAAGGACCCATTTGAAAGGCTTTGAAAGTAAAACAAGATACAGCAATTTGTTGCTTGTGATGAATATAATGTGTATAGTGACAGGTCTGGTACTCAACGTGTTTGCTCAAAAGCAGGTTCAATCACTAGCCTAATTTTCACAAGCCTTAGTCAGGTTTGGACTTAAGTTTGTCTCTGAAATCAAGGCCATAGTTTCATTTCTGTTTTTAGAAAGTGACAGAGTTGAAAATATAAACCTGAAAAGCGGTTGTGGTTAACCTTTGTCTTTGTCAGGCAGATAGACATGGAGCTCTTGTGACCTGAGCATAAAGCATTGGCCTGATCTGAGTGGTGTCATGCCCACAAGGGCCTGATACAAAGCTTACAGAACTTGATGCAAATCTTTTTGTTTCCCTCAGTGGGTTTTGGCTTGGGCCCTTGGGTTTAGTCATGTCTTCTTGTTATATCAGTGAATATGTTAAACTATTAGCCATTTTGCTCACTTCTTGATTTGTTCTTTAGTTAGTAGTGTGAACTATTTGATAAAGACTGGACAGACCACTTACAGTTCTTCTGAAGCTTTACATCTTGATAGGCTTTGAACAAATATTAATTTATCAGCTGTGAGGGAGGGTAGTAATTGTTTTTAAATTACAAACTGGAAAATTAACCTATCTGTACAGTACCTCAAGTGATTTACCCAAGGCTATAGGAGTGAGTCAGAGATGGGTTTGGGATTAGGATTTTCCAGGTCTGTCTTAAAATCATTTTGCTCAATTGCTCTGCCTCTCAGTGCAGGTGCCAGTCAGTGAGCCAAACCAAGTTGCATGATAAGACTAAACTGATTCATAGGATGGAGCAGCAGTGTCCCATTTCATCAGCAGTTGGATAGATGAATCTATTGCAGTCTATAGCATTGCATTAGTTAGGTGACTTGCCTATGTTAAATTGCTTTTGCAGTATTCAGGTAGGTTGTAAGTAATCCTTGGATGAATTGTGTGCATCTAATGTCCATTGCAATTGTGGTGTTCTTTTTTTCTACTCTGTTTAAAATAAATGTTTTCTCTTTCAGCACAAAGATAGTGTGGTGCCTTACCTTCTCCGGCTTCTGAGGGGTCTTCCTAAAGTACAGTGGATAGAAGAAAGTACTGCACGGAAAGGAAGAGGTGGTTTTAAGTTTGTTATTACTCAGTAAATGCAGCTGGGGAATAGAACTGACTTGGACAATTCAGGACTTAGTACAAGAGGAAGTTATCAGCCTTATTGTTCCCTTTGCTCTTGATATGGCTGCCTGCAGCAGAGTGGGACTGTAGTAAAATTGATTTTTCCTAAGAGGCAAGAAAGAAAGTTGAATTGCTCTCAGCTTTCCTGCTTGGCTGCTCTCTACTTGGCTGTCCTGTCCAAATAATTTAATACCTGCCACATTTTAGGATGTAATTGTTAGTAGAGGGGTTGTAGCAAGAGAAGGGGAAAAGGGGAGTCGGAACTCTTGGTTTCTAATTGCAGGTCTTATACTGATTATGCTATTTACATCACTTTTTTTTTAGGGTTTTATGTTATCTGTCTTTAACATGGATCTAAGAATCCCACAATGAATATTTTAACCTTTATTTTGTTAAGATTTGTAAGAGTGTTTTGAAATCAGGAAGTGCTCTTAAGAAGTGCATGCTACTGTTATTGCTGGTACAGTTACTAAACTGTAATTGAAATACTTAGGGCTTTCCACTTCACTAACAGGCTGTGTAAACCAGAATCTCTGCCCATCGAACAGTTTTCTTAGTACACATGCTTCATAATATGTTATTGTTTTGCATATGCTCCTGTCCATTTTTGGCATTAATAACAGAATGTACTTTGTCACCAAAATTGTTACTCTGTGCAAAGGATTCTCAATCAGGGTGCTGCAGCATCCTGCAGCTCCTCGAGATCCTTGGGTGCCACACAGTGTTAGCACTCTTAGGTGTGCAAACACGATTCACAAGATAAACTCGGAGATTTCAAATAGGAATCCAGTGTTAAACCCATTCTGACCTGTTATGGTCCTGAAGTTTTTTGCAACAGAAGAATTGCTCAATTATTTTTCTGTAGTCAAAAAATGAGTGGAAAATAAGAGCTGGCATTTTCTGAGGAGGTGTCTCAAGTCTAAGAAGGTTGAGACTCATAGCACCATGTCATGCCTCATGTCACTCCCCTTCAAGGGACTGATTCTTCAGCCTTTACAAATGTTACAAGAGTAGGGTTTCCCCCTCTCCCTCAAATGGTAGAAAGACTTTTTTTTTTCTGTAGCCCATGTACTAGGTTTATTAGCAGTAGTAAGCATGATTGTTCCAAACAGCAGATGTTTCTGCTCATATCACAGTCCTTTGTTTTTCTTGCATTCTTTTATTAACATGTTGATTTCAGTCTTGAAATCGTGAGGAGTTGGAACTTCTTTTTAAATTGAAAATAATTTATTGTTTAAGTGTTAATGCTGAATGACTGACTGTTTGAGAACATTCCTCTTCTGCAGCTTACATGTGAACCAAGACATCTTTTATTATTCTGAAATCCAAGGACTCTCTTATCTATTTTGCTTTCCTGATTATTGGCTAAGGGATATCAAGTAAATCTTTTAGTACATAGTATGTGTCCAGTGAGTTGCATGGTTCAGAGATTCTATGAGGCATTGATAAGAGTGCATTATGACCTATTATGCTACTTTATTATTACTTGTTTTCATATAGCTGATCCTAGTACTATTGTGCAATTGTATTTTCCTCTTCCCCTCTTATTTTCTAGGCATACTTCCAGTTGCAGAAATCTTCAGCTTCTGCTTGGTGACTTTGTTGTCAGATGTTGCCTATCGGGATGCCACTCTGAGGGAACAGGTAGAGTTCATTGACAATCTTCAGGGTGTGGCATCATAGCGTGCCTTTACATGAGTATGGAGGGTGCTCCGACACGCTGTAATTGCAGCATGTCAGACCAGACTCAATTAATTGAGTTGGCTGGAACGTGGCAGTTGCCGTATGCTAGCAGCCTCCTACGTCTCATGTATCAGTGTCCCTGAGCTCAAAAATGGCAGTGGGGGCACTTGAACTAAAGCTTGGCAAATGAGCTTTAGTACAAGTGCCCCCACTGCCATTTTTAAGTGCAGAGATGCTGATGCCTGAGACACAGCAGCGCTTTAATTAGAGCAGCTTTCAGAGCCACTCTAATTAAAGCACCATGCCTCCCCCCCCACCTCTGGAGCATGTGTAAAAATGGTCATAGTACACAGACCCGTGTTGCCTAAATAAATCTCTCAATCGTGATAAATTTTACATTTTAAGTGGAGCATACCAGCCCAGCTTCCCTGCACAAAAGGTCTGATCCTTTACCCCAGTGGTGCTCCATCCTCTGGCCCTGTGGGCCAGATGAATGGTTTGGGGTTGGTCCATGGGTTCAAGCCAACATGCTGGCTCAACCCTGTGTATGCCTGGATCTGGCTGTGTGCTGGTGCACAAGTTTCTCCGCAGGTCCAGAACCTTGTGGGTTGGGGAGTGGCAATTAACACTGCCACCGCTCTCCTGCTGCTAAATTTCCAGACCCATGAGGAGACCCGTGGGTCAGATGACACAACTCTGTGCTCTTGATCTGGCCTGCAGGCCAGAGTCTTAGCACCCCTGCAGTACATTCTTCTGCATTGGACTAACTATGTGTTAATGAATAGATCTGTTTTGCTCAAAAATTACTTGGTGCATTTTCAAGTTGGAGCCCAAAAATATTGTCCGTAAGCAGGCCCAGTGGCTTAGAATTAATGCGTTTTATAGCAGAGTTGGGAACACAGTGATCTGAACGTGCCATTATGTACAGGTTGGCTAAGGATATCGCATGCACTATAGGGCTGCCCTGAATCAAATGTGTTGAAAGTATATCTTTTCATTACATGATGTAAACAACCCTTTCACTTTAAAAGATAGACTGCCTACAGTTAGTACTTGCAAAGTTAGTATTTGCAAGTTTCATTTGACTTCATGTAATGAGTTGATATGCACCAGCCTTTAAAGGCTCATGAAGGGTGTTATATGTCTGCCCTCATTTTTAGATTTTGGAGGCAGTTCTACAAGTGATGCAGTTCCTGCTGGGAATGTGTCAGTCCCCACAAGTTCAGGATAAAGGTAATGAAACAGTACTTTTCTCGTCTTTAAATTGGTGCTACATCTTTCTTGGAGCTGCCTCTGGCCTTCACTTCTTCTCTAACCTTCATCATCATTCTTTTTAAAAGGTATATTATATAATTAGTACTCCCCCTTTGAACTGTTTTTGGTAAGAAAACACTTATTTCATTGTTTTATGCCGATTGGTAAATGTTGAAGCAGCAAAATCATTTTCAGTTAAGATATGCACATCTGTTGGTTTTCTAGTTATGCAAGTCTAGCTTCATGAGGTGCATTATGCTATTGTGCTTCTAATGAGCTGGTAGCAATGCTGATGACAGGAAGTCCTAAGCATCTGATAATATGTTGCAATAAGAAAGTGGTGTTACCTAATTTTGTTTTCCAGAATATTTATGCAAATATGCAGTGCCATGCCTGATCGGAATTTCACGAGCATTTGGTCGCTATAACAATTCAGAAGAAGCTCTTCTCTCAAAGCTGTTCCCTAAAGTTCTTCCACATTCACTGAGGGTCCCTGAAGAGCTGGAAGGAATTCGCAGACGATCTTTTAATGACTTTAGATCAATTCTTCCCAGCTCTCTACTCGCTGTCTGTCAGGAAGGAACCTTAAAGAGAAAGGCCAGCAGTGTGTCCAGCATCTCTCAGGTTAGTATGACCTACTTAACAGAGAAGTCAATGTTTAATCATTTGGTGTTATCTGGGAGGCAAAAATAACTAAAATAGGGTATGCTTACAGTCATTTAATGCCACATTTGAACAGATTTAAACTGTCAGTTTAAATTATTTAGCTCTCCCTTAGCAACAATAAAGATGTAGCTGGTTATTAAGTGATAATTGCTTGCACTGGGAACATATCAAAGCATTTGGCATACATCAAACTTTGTGGTACTCCAGCAAAGCAGGTATAATTATCCCTATCTAATGCATGGGGAAAGGGAGACCAGGAAGCAAATAACTTAAGTTCTTTTTCAGAAGTGCTGAGCCCCCACAAATTCCTGTTGTCTTCAACAGGAGTTTGACATCTTTGGAAAAAAACAGACTTAGAATGATGTCTCCAAGATGACAGGTGGAGGCATTACCAGAGTTGGATATATAATCTGTAGGGCTGTGTGAAGCTTTGGGTGCTGATTCAGTCTGGAGGAAATTCAGCCTGATTCAGCGGCTGAATCTCCAAATCCAAATTGAATAGGGACCAGTAAAAAGGTCCGAATGGATTCTAAGCTCTCTGAATCATCAGAAAAGATTCAGAGAGCTTCAATAATTCGGACAGTCCCCGGTGGCTCCAGCAAGGAGCTGCAGCCGGGCTTGGAGCTGGTAAGTAGGAGTGAAGGAGCTAGAGGAGGGGGGAGGGGACCATGGCGGGGGGGAGCCCTGCCAGGCCCCATCCCCTGCTTGCTCCTTCAGCCCCACAAGGCTGCCCCACCTGGCCCTTTAAGAAAAAAGACCAAAAAACCCTCAGACTCACCAGCTCCTACAGTGGCCTCAGGGCTTCTGGGGGCTCAGTGGGGATCGCCTCAACCAGGCAGCACCCAGCCAGTCAGTCAGCTTTTTTTTTTTTCTTTTTCAAAGAGCCAGGTCCCTACGCAGCGCTGGGCAGCAGGGATCGCACCCCCGCCCCACCCCACCCACCAGGCAGGAGCCTGTGAGTTCAGGGTTTTGTTGTTTGTTTGTTTGTTTGTTTTTTTAGTGGGTGAGACAACCGTTGCCAGGACTGGGAAAGTGGTCAGGGGATGGGGCCTGTGTGATTCGGAGATTCAGCTGATTCAGCAGCTGCCAAATCTCCAAATTGGATTTGGCCGAATCGATTCAGGACAGTGATTCAAATTGCCAAATCAAATCACTGTCCCCCAAATTGGCCGAATCTGGAGCAAATACTAGCCACTTCACACAGGTCTAATAATCAAGGCATCCTTTAACCAAGACACTTGCTACTATTCCCATTATCTTCCTGTTTTGGTTGAGATTTGCAGTGGGAAGACCTGATCCTGAGCGCTCAGAATTCCTGTTAATGTTAGTGGGGGTTGGAGTGACTAGTATTCTTTGGGAAATAGTAATCTTAACTATGTTTGTTTTTCTCAATATATTTATTGAAGAGAAGTTTGAGCCCATGTTGTGTGAGTGTGCCTTGTGCGCCTTTAGTAGTAAAAAGTGACTGTTGTCTTGTGTTTCAGGTTAGTCCTGAACGTGGAATTCCCCCTCCCAGCTCCCCAGGTGGATCTGCTATTCATTACTTTGAAGGTAAAGTTTGCATTTATGGTGCAATTGACTGGTCATCCTTATACACAGGGATGCTAACAAACCCAACCTGCCTTCCCTCTTCTCTGCCTTTGTGGCTGCTTGTAGTAATTCTCTGGCTAATGTTCTGATAAATAAGAGATTAGCAAATTCTTGGATAGTTTTTACTGCCAGCATCAGTGGTTTCTGGCATCAGTGTTTTTTGACTATGTTCTGAGAGAGAATTGTTTGTTGACTACTAAGTCGTCTGTGGCTAATACAAAAGGATTGAGTTATCCCAGTTTAGAAGATTAGGTGCAAGGGGTTATATCCTACTGCACCCTTTGACTAAAACTGCAGATGGGGATTGGAATTTTGAATCCTGTCTGCCTGGTTATATAAGCCCAGTGCAAATAACCACTATATTTGGAACAAACTTGTTGTTTATCACTTATGTAATCCTTGCTAACGCATGCTGAAACAGTGGCTAGCCATGGAAAAATCCAAAATAAGAAAGTAATGCAAGGGAGATGGTGAAAGACTGTATTGCCTAGAACTCTGATTGTGGGTAGGTGGGATTGGGGATATACTAATGGGATATTAGGCTAACCTCTCTCCTCCTCCCGCCTCCCCTCCCCCAAAAAACAAAACAAAACTCCACAGCTTGTGTGAAATGAGAGTAATGTCTTTACCTGTTTGGGGTCTTTTGGAGGATGTCCACAGACACAATGAAGTGTCATGCAGAGATACCCTGACGTAGTACTTCACATCTGCGCTCCACAACTGGAAGCAGGATAGCTTCCCTAGTATGATGCTGCATCCAGGCTAATAACTCTGGCTTCTGAACAGTGTCACAGTAACAGCTGTGCTGCTTCTAGTATCTGACCTAGTGCATACAGAGCTATCTCGGGTATCGCTGCACAACACTGCTGTGTGGCATATAGGCATATGATTGGCGTTTTTACTTTTGTCTGGTACTTATGGCCATGTCCACATGAGCAGGGGGTTGCGTTTGCAGCAGCACAGCTTTGTGCCACAGTACACGCCCCTGCCTGTGTACTTTGCAGCAGGACGCATTGTCCTGCTGCTCCATGTATTGCAGAACTGGCTGGGGCACAGGGTGCTTCAGTGCAGGGCTAGTTGGCAGGCAGCCCCCCCCATGGAGGTACCCTGCGCCCCAGCCAGCCAGGGAGCTGCATGTGGAGATGGGGGAGCCAGCCAACTCAGCACTGCCTGCTCCCCATCTCTGTGCACTGCAGAGCCCCCATGCTGAGGCACCCAGCGTCCCAGCTAGCCACTCTCCAGCTGGCTAGGGCGCAGTGTTCCTCGAGATTGGGGAGCAGGCAGCCCTGGGCTGGCTGTTTCCCTGTCTCAAGGCACACTGCGCCTTTGCCAGCTGCTCCGTGGCTGTCTGGGGTGCAGTATGCCTCAGCACAGGGGCTTTGCAGTGCAGCCCCCATGATGAGACACTTGGAGATGGGAGCAGCCAGCCCAGGGCTGCCTGCTCCCCCATCTTGAGATACCACTGAGCCCCAGCCAGCCGGAGAGCAACTGGGGTTGGGGCTCAGGGTGCCTCAGGTCAGGGGCTTCACAGCATGCAAAGATGGGCTGCTTGCTTCCCCATCTCCATGTTTGTCCTGGTGGCTGCCACTTGGGCATGCTGTGCACCACTTTTTTCTTCAGGGTGTTTTTTTACTACCAGGAAATCTTGGTAGCAAAATTTTCCCTAGCGCTGCAAACTTGCAGCACCGTGCATGGTTTAATGTGCAGCACTTGCGGTTTGTGGCACCATAGAGAGTTTTGTGGTGCCACAAACCACATGTACCTCCATGTCTGGATCTGGCCTGTAGAGTTTTAATGCTTGGGGTTTCTTCAGCCGTGGATGGAGAGATGTTCTCCCTTTGTCTAGGCAGTTCTAGCTTGAGTTTGTCTCCTTCATTTAATTGCATGTCTCTTCTTCATTAGTTATTTCTGGGGATCTCTGCCTTCAGAATCAGTCATGTGTTACAAAATAGGATTTATCCATGGTGGGCTGGCCCAGTTACATGGATGCTGTGCAGTTCACTTATTTTGTTGTTCCTGGTTATTTCAACACTGCCTAACAGCAAACTAAAAATATGGCACGACAGTGTTGGGTACCGTACAAATGCATCTAATCCCTTTCTGTGCCTTCCCAGTCCACATGCCTCTTTACATTAACCTACAGTCTCCAGGTTTCATGTTTTGAATTAAAAAGAAAAAAAATTAAAAATTGCCAAGCGGAGGAGGATTCTTCTCCTATGCTGTTAATAAAAATAGAGCATAGCTGGATGGCGTGCATGGTTGCTTGGGTTGGATAGATGTACACTGTTACAGATGTGCATTCTGAATTATAGGAACTGTAGCAGGCCTATGTTCCCGCTAGTTAGGTATTTTATTTTCAATACTTGCTTCTATTAGGTGTTTCTGAGGCATCTAAACCTTTAGTTATCCCTATTAATGTACCCAAACAAGTATGTGATAGTGGTTTTTTTTTTTCTATTTTCTCATGTTTGAGGACATCTTTTTTTCTTGAAGCAAGGGAATTGATGATCTTCATTGTTTTTATTCTCTTCAAAGCTGAGGTGTTAGACAAAGGGACCAAAAAGCAGATTTATCAATAAATAGTACAATTTTGAGAGTCCATTTATCACAAGAGAAACACTGCATTAATGCACCTAGCTGAGTAGTTACAAGACACAAACATGTAATCCCAGAAGAGGAATGAAGTGCCAAAAGCAGCTTGATTAATGAGCTGCTAGATTAATCAACTATTCTGAAATGAAAACTGTAATTGGATTTCTCTTGGCCCTTCAAATTGTAAGTGTAAATTGGCTTTTGTTAAGCTGTGAGAGGTTATGTGGTTTTGTTTAAAATGATATTTTGCAAGATCTTTCTCATGAATGTTAGCCAGTATTGTTACATTTTTATCATCCCAAACCTGAGTGCACACTGAGTCTTCTAATGCAAATTTAACTGCAGAAGTTGACAAGTGCTACTATAGACCATTAACAAAATGAATGCAAAAATTCTTTCTCTTTCCTGGAAGGTGAGGGAATATCAAATAAGAGGATTCTGTTTTCTTTTTACTATAGTTTTGGGGCCTGATTTGGCTCCAGTGAAAGCTGAAACTAGTCCTTGGATATTTCATAGACATTAGGGGCTGGAAGGGACCTTGTGAGATCATCGAGTCCAGCCCCCTGCCATAGGCAGCAAGTCAGCTTGGGATCAAGTGACCCCAGCAAGAAATACATCCATATGGTTTTTTGAAAGAGTTCAGAGTAGGTGCTCGCACCACCTCTGGGGGGAGTCTGTTCCAGACCCTGGACACTCGCACTGTAAAGAACTTTTTTCTTACGTCTAGTCTAAATTGGCCTTCCTGAAGTATATGACCGTTAGACCTTGTTATCCCTTGGGGAGCTCTGGTGAACAGCTGTTCTCCCAGGTCCTGATGTACCCCTCTTATATAATTGTAGGCTGCCACCAAGTGCCCCTGAGCCTTCTCTTTTCCAGACTGAAGAGTCCCAAGTCCCTCAGTGTCTTCTCATACATTCTTCCCTCCAGGCCTTGGGGAGAGGCTGAGGGACTTGGGACAGGTGTAGAAATGTAAGATGACAATATCTTCTATACTTATGGTTTGTCCCTTAGCCTTCCAGGTATAACAGAATGATTGTTGTGGTTTGTTTTGTTTTTTTTTTCCGATCAGGTTCATACCTTCCTGATGGGAGTGCATTGGATCCTGATTATTATTTCTCTACAATCAGCTCTAGCTTCTCTGTGTCTCCTCTTTTTAATGGTATTAACAACAAGGAGTTTAATATTCCACTGGAAATGCTCCGTCAGCTGCTCCACATGGTACGGTATGAGCCACATTAAAGACTGCATTCAGGTCTGACTTGTGTGAGAGACAGATTTGTGGTTTTGTGTGAGTTTGCAGGTTGTAATGAAATTTTGAAGGTGTGTAATGTAATTTTGTAAGCAGTCTACTAGTTGTGCATACAGTGTTAAACTTGGCATGTAAATAGGAAGATATTTTTTTCTGCATAATTCTTACCAGGTTTCAGTTAATATTGCCAGAAAGTCTTAGGAAGTATTAGTAATTTGTGAAATAAGAGGGCTTTGCCAGCACATTACTCTGCATCTGCCAAGCCAGTTGATCTGATGTAGCTTGTCTTTTGTGTCTGGTTGAAATAATAAGTGTTTTTCCTGCAGCAAGAACAGTATTATTTTCTGCTGGGGTATTGCTCTTGGGATTATGTCTAATGGCAGAGCTTGGTGGCTCTGTCCACTTCCTGTTTTACTGACTAGGGCCTCGTTGCATCATTGCAGTGGAAATACAGTAATTTCTGTGATCATCCTAACTTTTCGCTGCCCTAATTGTAGCCTGATGCTATTATCCAAATGATTCAGTGCTTTCTTAAGCCAAGCAAAACTGTGATTCTGGAAAAGAAAACTTCTAGTAAGATAACACCAACTATGATATCAAACATCTATTTTCCTTATAGGTAAAACAGATTGTTGGGGATACACTTCTCAAAAGCCTAGATGCAGTTGTAACTGAAGTTGCAGAGGTATGTTTTAATGATGTTAATATTTGTTTAAAAAAAATATTCCCCTAGAACCTCAACACTCCAAAGGTATAGCTTAGGGAATCTGAAACTGGTTATTAAACTTTGATTTGTTTTCAGGTAAGGTATAACAACATAAGTGAAGAGCATTAAATTGCATCCCTCTGTTTTTTTTTTATTTATTCTTATTTCTTAAGCCAGAAAAAATATAGTAGATTCTTTTGAGCAAATGTGTTAGTTTGTTCTTCATTGCTTGCTGATTTGGAAGTTCTTGATAGTGCTGTATTTTTAAAGATGTCCTCCTACAAGTTTCCACTTCTCAGAGTCAGTGGACAATTTCTGTCAATAGAGGGTTTTTTTTATTTTTTAAATTTTTTTGCAGAGAAAATAAGTCTCGTGGACCTCTGATTCTTTCCGCTGTTTTGCATTTATCCTGCATCCTCTGTCAGTATTTCCTCTAGTGATTCTCAGAAGTTTTAGGCATGGAACTGTTCTGAACTGAGTTTTCAGAGCTGAACAGACAAGTTTTTTCATTAGTTGGAAAGGACCATGTTCTTGTCTACAGTCTTTCTCCTAGTGCGGTAGTATTTTACATGTAGTCTTTGAGGGGAAACAACTTCAGCTTCTGCTGTTCCAAACAAAGACTATTTAGTGTCTCTTGTTCTGAATGTGGCCATATTCAGATAATACTTCCTGCCAGGATGTCTTGTCTAAATAGGCTAGCTAAATCCTGTTGAGTGCATTCAGTGGTTATAGTTTTCATTCTGATTAACAGTAAAAGCTGAAAATGAATCTCTTCCTGTGGTGTATGATTGAAATGCAAATTATGCCAGTTATCACAACTACATCTCCAGGATAGAAAATAGCAGTTCCCTGACCTGAAAAGGTCTCATTTGTTTAGTATTTCATATGAAAATATATTTTATATATTCCTTTTGAAGCTTACCACTGTTTTTTATCTTTACAGATGAGTCCTAATGCAGATCTCTATTATAAAACATTCAGTGACCCTCTTTACGTTGCCCAGTTTAAAATGCTGAGAGACACACTGTATTACATGAAAGGTGTGGAACTTAGATCCTTATGAATTCAAGTAATATGGTGTGGGGTATCCTAAAACAGTGTGTTTGCATAGCATGTTCTGCTTCAGGTGGCTGAAGATCGGGCTGCATTTTATGGATGTTGCATGTATCTTGGGCAGTTTGCTTTGGAATACTTCATTCTAAAACAAATTTATTATAATGAAGTCCTGGGAGGAGTGGGCCAACCAGCATTCAGCCTGTCTACTTTACTAGTGTTCTTTGTCAGGAGATGCTTCCACCTCCTGCTCTAACACTACAGTAAAGATACTTGTATGAAATATTTAATTTACATTAAATATGCAAATGGATTGATTTCATTTGTAAACTGTGTTTTGGGACACAGCAACCCTCCTCCTTCTGGAAACAATTTGCCCTCCTACTCTTTCAGATCTTCCAAACTCCTTTGTGAAGGAAATCCATGATTTTGTGCTGGAACAGTTCAACAGCAGCCAGTCAGAACTTCAGAAAATCCTCCATGACGTGGATCGATTACACAATGAACTAAGCCCCCTGAAACTGCGTTGCCAAGCTAATGCTGCCTGTGTGGATCTCATGGTGTGGGCTGTGAAAGATGAACAAGGTGAAAAACACACATCTTTATACTTGCAAGATGTCTTTTTATCCTGCAGAAATGTCTTGTACAACTCTTTCTCCATTCCAAGTAGTTGATGAAAGATCATTTGCATGCATTTGTGATGGATGTGTTTTCCTCCTTCCTTTATATTTTAATCTTAATTTTAGTGCTATCCTGTTATAAAATGAGGATATTCTTATGTTTTTAATACACTTGTAGACTATTTTAAACATAAAATGTCCCAGAATTTAACTTTGAATGATATAATCATCTCAACCATTTTTGTAAGAACTGTTTATTACAAATATTAATACAGATACTGAAATCTTTTCTGCCAACATAGGAAGCAAAAACATTTGTTTACATCACTGTTATCTGAAGTAGGCGAATCCAGCAGATTCTCCATCTGCCTTAGGGTCTACAGTGAGCACATGATACTAAATTAATTGCGCGTTAATTGTTTCCTTTTATTTATTTTTTTTTTATTTATTTTTTTTTTGGAATTAAGGTGCAGAAAACCTGTGCATCAAGCTCTCAGAAAAGCTGCAGTCCAAGACCTCTAGCAAAGTCATTATTGCTCATTTGCCACTGCTAATTTGCTGCTTGCAGGTCTGTCCTTAACATTTTTATGAGAAACTTTTATTTCAGTTTTTCAACCAGTCAGTAAAATTGTTTGCACCTTTACAGATGAGTTTACTTAAGAGATGAGGCAGTTGTTATGGATGAGGCAGTTGTTATGTTACTATTTGTTAATGTCTTTTGCCTAGGAAAGTAAAACATCAATGACTTAGTGGTCCTCAAAGCCTACTTTGCATGAGCTGTTTCTGAGAAATTTAGTCAGGGGGGTTATTGTACAAGCTGTTCACTTCTGAAGACCTTGGGTTCAGATTTGTTAAAACCAGTAAAAATTGGAGTAGAACTGGACAGTTGATTGGACTGGAGGCATCTGACTTCCCAAATCCAGGCAGGCATCCTATGTGCAAGCCCCAGGCCCAGAGGCTTTGGGGTTATTTGAAGTCCCAGACCAATGGGTCTGGATGGGAGGAGACTTGCACACCAGGTGATAGAGCCACCATACTTGACAGGCTCAGCTGAATTTTGGAATTGACTATTAGACTTAGCCTAATTGAATTTGGAACTGATTTGCCCTTGAACAAGATAAAAACAAAGTTATAAAAGACATATGAAGTCTTAACCATCTAGTGCAGGGATGGGCAGTTATTTCAGCTGGAGGGCCACTTAATGATTTCTGGTGAGCTGTCCAGGGCTGCAAGGGTAGCCCCACTCCTTAACCCCTGACCTTTGTCATTGGAAGTCCTTCCCCTTGCCCCCAGAAGTACTCCTTTTGGCGAAGGGGTTTACCATCTTGGAACCAAGGGGAAAAAATATATATATACTAAAAATCAAACATCTGCAGTAACGTATTTTAATTTTATTTCAAAAAATAGTTTTGTCCTGATTTGTGTCTGTGTCATATACATAGGGATGATTGCATAATAGCTCAAAATGAAGTCTTACTCTTACCCCATCAAACACCTCCTCCCCTTGCATACAGCCCCTGCCTGCCAGTGGAAGCAGCAGGCCCTCGGGGCTGGACCTTCGGCTCCAATGTATGGGGCTCACATGCCCGAGCCCTGTGCCTCTGTGGGGAGTCCTGTGTGATGAAGCTGGCGGTGCACAGGCAGCCCAAGGCTGGGCCGGATACAGTGAATTACATCTGCCCACAGGCTGGATTTAAATCGCCTGGTGGGCCAGATGCGGCCCTCAGGCCGTATTTTGCCTGCTGGTGATCTAGTGATACTTGAGTGGTTGGTTTGGAAAGAATTGAATTGGACTGAAATAATTTAGGCGGGCAAAGTGTTGTGTTTTATAAAGGCATATCCAGTGGCATTAATTACAGGTTTCCCTCACTTTATGTGGGTTCTGTATGTATGAATTCGCTCTTATGCGATGATCCTTTTTATTCCAAAAATTCATTATGTGCAGTAAATTCACTCTTATGCAGTCAGTGTGGTAGAAGCCTGCAGTCAGCTGCTTTGTGCAGTGCCTTGTGGGAGTGATGCACACCAAAATATAGTCTCCTGTGTGGATCTGTGCTCCTTGTTCATTGACTGCGACACGGGTTTCTGTAGTTGCCATCCCCATTATGGTAATATTCACTACCACCCTGTGCTTGTGTGTACTGTCTGCTGTTGGCGAGTACCAAAATTGTCTTGTAAAAGTGGTAGGAATGGTTCTGGGGATGAGTACAGTCAAGGTCTTTGAACATATCCCTATTTATTACTTTGTAAAGTGGGTTCTCTTTATGCGAATTCAAGTTATGCATCGTTTTCCAGGAACGCATGTACAGCATAAAGCGAGGGAAACCTGTATCCCCTTTGTTGGCAGGCTGGGGTGGAGGGCAATGTGAAAACAGTTCCCGGAAACTGAATTTCCCTTTCTCCATTACCTTTAGGTGAGCATGGCAGTGCTTGCCTGTGCTGTATCTGGTGTGTGGGCAATGTGTTTATTTTCCAGGATAAGCAGTGTGATAACTGTCCTGAACAAAAAGATTTTAAAATAAGGAGAAATGAGTGTCCTGTGCCCAGCCTAGTTCTTGACACCTGCCTACTTTGTTTACAAAATCAGGTCACATCTGTTATTCTGCACTCAAAAGTGGGATAGCAAAGATATTGTTTCTTGTGGCTGCTTAGCATTTGAATGTATTTATCCCATAATCTGAATTCTTTGGAATTAGACTGATGTAATGTATTGGACACACTCCTGTGAAGGCACCAAAAAAAGGGCAGGGGATAAGCACACAGGTGAAATAAATAGGTCTGTTCATGCAGTGAGAATATTTCAAATGGGATGTTTTAATGTATCCACTTTTTTTTTTTTTTTTTTTTGTTCTAGGGTCTAGGTCGTTTGTGTGAGAGGTTCCCTGTTGTGGTTCATTCCGTCTGTCCCTCCTTGAGAGATTTCCTTGTAATACCTTCTCCAGTTCTGGTGAAACTATACAAGTACCACAGCCAGTATCACACAGGTAAAATAAAGCTGTAGTATTGATTCAGGTATATACCATAAACAGTACTAATTTGCCCTTAAACTTCCTTTTATTACTGCAACATTTTTCCCTACCTATCAAAAGGTGTGTTTGTTTTTGAGAGGGATTTTAAGACTGAGAGAGAATGCTTATCATGTTATTGCAAAAATATACCCAGGAGCTAATGATTCTTATCTGCGTCGAGGTTACTAGTAACTGCAAAGTGGCATCAAGATGTCAAAGTTTGTGTTGTATATATAATCAACTGAGATCCTGGTTTCTCTGATTTAAAAAAAAAAAATCTTCAAGTTTTAGTTTAAAAAAAAAAAAAAAAAAAAAAGGAACCCCAAATCCATATTTAAATCTCAGAAAATATGAATCGGAGGTTACTTTTTTTAACCAAAAATTGGGGATTTTTTTTTAAATTGGGGAAAACCAGGATCTCTGATAATTGCACAACAGCAAAAAATTATCATTTCTGAAACTAGCAAAGTTTGATAGAAGATCCATAACAAGTGTGCATGTTGGTGTAATAACTTAATCTATAATTTTTGAGTAGGCTATTATGAATGGCTTTATGTTATGTTTTAGGATTTTAAGTCTCTTTTTTTTTTTTAAATTACTTTTAGTTATGCTCAGACTCTCAGCTCATTTGTGCCTAGTTTAAGTGAAAGTTAATGAATTATATTCACCCAGCATTTCTCTTTGATCTAAGGAGAGTAGACACTGTTGCAACCAAGGAGGGGCTGGAAATCCTATTCCTTGTGCAGGATGAGTTGCTAGCAAATTGACATGGATTGTTTTCATTCTGTGTGTTGGAGAGTGTGCAACAGATGCATGAAAGAAATTAGGAAGGTTTTGGTGGATTGGGAAGATATGATGATGATCAGGCAAATAATTTAATGGGAAAAGGGTGAGCCTGCCTTGTATTTTTAAGGACACTCTTTGTGCAAGCTGCTCTGCATAGCCAGGTAGAGCCAGTGTTCCTGACTCCCTAATCGCCAAATATTTAATTGAACCTGTTTGCATATAGGATGTTGCTGCATTTGTTTTATGAAAAGCAGTTGATAATATAGAGTTCTCTTCTTATTTCTACTCTGAGACTTGCATATCAGTCTTCAATTACAAGCCAAATGTTGATTTCTTCCTCCTTCCCCCCGCCCCACACCTTACCAGCCAATTCTGCATAATTCCTCTAGTTCTGAATACAAATCTGTGTTCCTTTTTATTTTTTTAAAGTGCCACTATTAATAAAAGTTCTAGAGCTAAAGTTTTTGGGCAACCGTTTTTGTTAATAGTGACCAAAGTGGAGCAAAACAGAGCTTTTCTTTAGCCATATTATCTGAGTTGCAATCTGTCTTGTCAGGGAAAAATGAAAAATTGGGACTCTGTCATTGTGCTTTATTGTTACCACAATCTGATGCATACTGTGAGAAATCTAATCCATCATCTAGTTCTTCTGTTTTACTTCATTGGAATTGCACCAGGGATGAATTTGACAATTGTCGGGTCCGAGGGTTGGTCTGAGGCTGTGGCCAGTAGCCCAGACCGTCAGGTGGGGGTTTTCCACGACGGGGTAGAGTTAGGCACTTAAGCGTATTGGTTTTATAAAGAAAGCTTTACTTACACTGCCGATGGTCACAGTGCAGGAAGGAAACTTGCTTGAGTTGCAGTTGTACACAAACAAACACAAATGAGATCTCTTCTGAACCACACCGAACTGGGATGAGTCGTCGATATACGACTCCACGAGCGCTTCACACAGGGGATACGTCAAATTCACACTATGACGGGGAGTGGCTAAGAGCTGATCAGGCCTCTCTGTCCTCCTCCAAGATACACGCGGAGTTTGCTAGGCTCCATAGCGCGCTCAGAGTTCCCCACGAGATGGTTGTGGAGTCCTCCAACTTGTGCAGAAACTGCTTTAACCTTTTGTATGGCTAGCGAGCCAATTTCTAGTCCAGGCTAGCGAGCCAATTGCTAGCCGCCACGTAGGAATAATTTAGAATCAGCCAATAATGGGGTACGAATTTGCGTGTGTGTGGCGGGAACTCTTTTGCACCGGGGATTTCTCTCTGCAGCTGAGAAATCCACCATGCAAAGAAAGCTCCATGTGGCGGGAAAATTCCAATGTGCCGAGGCACTAAAAATCATTGGGTTATGACAGCAATAAGGTGTTAGAGCTACTGAGATGTGTTGCTCTACTTAATGCAGTTATTGTATTCTGAAAACTGATTCTCCAGAAAGTCATTAAGGTGGGAATCTGTTTATTCACTCAGAGACCCAATATTGTATGTATTTAGCTCAAGTTCTGAGAACTGAGCAGAACTTGAGCATCTTGCATATTGTTACCGGTAACAGATGCACAATGCATCTGTTACCGGTAACAGATGCACAATGCATCTTCTAGACCTTTGCTCACACCCATACTTCTTAACTGCCCAAATGTATGTAAATTGGAACTTAATGAGCACTAAGGCTGTGCGAAGCTTTGGTCCCTGATTCTATTCAGCCTGATTTGGTGGCCGAATCTCCAAATCTGAATCGAATCAGAGGACCCTTTAATCTCTCTGAATCAAATCGGAACCCTCCAAATTGATTCAGAGATTTGGACAGACACAGCTTTAAATGTGTTTTCTACATACCTCTAGGTAGCAGGCAGCTCGTGAATGCTGCGATGCTGGGGCGCGTGGTATGTCCCACAGCAGTATGCGGGGCTCCCTAGTGCGCTCAGCAGCAGACCCGAAAGTGGACCAGAAGTGCTTCCGGTCCACTCAGGGGAGCGCACTGGGGGCCCCCCTATACTTCCCCCAGCTCGGTGACTGGTGTCTACTGGGTCTTGTGGGAGGCACTTGGGGTCCCCCCGCAGCCGATTGCCAAGCCAGGGGGACATGGTGGGGTTCCCTAGTGTGCTCCTCAGCAGGCCCGGAAGTACTTCCAGTCTACTTCCAGGTTCGCCTCTGAGCATATGAAGGCCCCCCCTCTGGGACATTCCACGCATCCCAGCATTGCAGCATTCACAAGCCATGCTGGTACCTCGAGGTACGTAGAAAAACCTTTTAAAGCTGTGTCTGTCTGAATCACTGATTCTCTGAATCAGCATTGAATCTTCAGATTCAGATTTGGCCAAATCGAATCGGGGATAGTGATCTGAATCAACGAATCGAATCACTGTCCCTGATCCGGGCCGAATCTGAATCAAATCGGGCCCACTTCGCACACCCCTAATAAGCACTATTGTTGATTATGCCAAAATAGTGATAAGACCTATTTTGCCCAGTCTCGGCTGTAAAAAAAACAAAACAAAAAAACCCCCAATAATAGCTAACAGAATTATAAGGCAATTCAAACTTAACTGTGAAACGGAAATAAGCAGATGCATCTCTGGACATGCATAAAAAGCAGATTTCTTGAATTAGGATGCTAATATTTTTGCAGTCACTTTTTCATAGTATGGTTGCACTTGGATACAAATTTCTCCTCATTGTCTTGAGCTAGCAGGTGTTGTTTAGAATCTGATTCTGCAGATCTTTCTCCAGAACTCCTCCATTTTCTATGTTTTCTTGCCAGATTCCCGTCTTTCCCTGTGAAATTGGATTATCTCTAAGTAGTGTTATCTTGCTAATCCAATGTAAAAAAAAAAAAAAAAAAAAAAAAATCTTTCCTGACAACTTCAGATTTTCAATTAAGATGAGTTTGGAAATATTTAGTGTTTGACCATCAAGGAAGTGTAGAATTAGTTTAATAACTAGCTCACCCATGATTCCCATCAGATTTCAGAAATCCTGGTATCAAGTTTTGAGTATCTGGGTTTTTGAAAATTGTAGCTGTTGCAGTATTAAAAAAGAAAGCTAATAAAATGAAAAAGCTGGAGATCTCTGAAAGTGAAAAGTAATGAAATGCAGTACAAGCTTAGGATAGTCACAGTTTGTACAGCTTTAAAGTTCTTCAGTATAACCCTGTCATCTGCATCTTGGTCTGTTCTGCATTCAGTTGCCAGGTATTGATCTGCCTCTGTGTTCAAATCTCAAGGAAAGATATAGCAAAATACATTGTCTTCTATACTCTATCTCTGTTCTTAGTAGGTGGCAATGACATCAAAATCAGTGTAACAAATGAGCATTCAGAGTCTACTCTCAACGTAATGCATGGCAAGAAAAGTCAGCCCTCCATGTATGAACAGCTTCGGGACATTGCCATAGACAACATTTGCAGGTAAGGATTGTGCTTGAAAACACCCAGTGACTAACAATTACTATTTAAAGATGAGTGCTGTGCGGAGAAGGGGGCAAACGGTGTGAAGATTTAAAAGGAGATGATGTTGGATGCAAAGTTTTGGGGCTTTTGTTTGTTTAAGTGAACTTTTGCATGCACACTATTGTACAGCTGGAAGGTATTTGTCTAGCAACTGGACTGCTTGATGGATACATGCATGCTTAATTTAGTAGCCACCATGAGTCAGCTGGCTTTTTGCAGCTTCATCAGATTAGAATATTACGTCATCCTGCAGAACTGATAGACAGTGAACCTTGGGGTAGTGCAGAGGTACCTATTCCTCACCCCTTTCCCCCTGGCCCTCTATCACATTAGATTTTTCTTACAGACTGATTGGGTGCATGGAGAGAGTGTTCCAGGAGGAGTAGGACCTAAAACAGGATTAGGCTTTCTAAAAGATGCTTTTGTCACCCCTGAGCCCCACTGGGTGTTCATAAGACTCCTTACCTTCTTTCCTATTCACCCATGTTGCTGTTCTGCAGGTGCTTGAAAGCTGGTCTGACCATAGACCCAGTGATTGTTGAGGCCTTCCTAGCCAGTTTGTCTAACCGTCTGTATATCTCTCAGGAGAGTGACAAGTAAGTAGTTTAGGCCTCTTATCCATTCTTTTTCCCCCTATATTGTTTAATTAACTTAAAGCTCACTTAGCACAATGAGCTTAACTCTGATGGGTTCTTATTTTCAAGCAGAGGGGCTTGTGCACATCAACAGATGATAAAATACTGTTTGAATGTCTCTATCAAGTATTAAAGATTATCTGAAATCCCAGGTGAAATGAAATTGTGCGAGGTCTGGGTAGGACTGCAGTCTGTTCCACACACCCATGTCTGGCACATTTGATTGCTACTCATGGAGTATGAGCTCCCTCTCTTCTTGAGGGAGAAGATCTAGCTGTAGTTGCCTGCCTCTTGTGGTTCTGGAAGGTTGCCAGACTACTTATCTATTTCTACTGATTCTACCATAACTAATGACTTGCAGATCAGTGTTCTATGAAAACAACAATTTTTATTCCTATACTGTATTAAGTCTCCTTTTAATTATCTGGTGTGGGAAGGTTTGGATCAATAAGAGGCTAAAATACTCTTTCATTTGACCAGATGGGCCAGTGTAAATTGTTTTCCCATAAGAATTCCAGCTCAAATGGTAAATGTAGAACTGTTTCTAAATATTTATGTGGGGTGGGGGTTGTTGTTTTTATTTTTTAGGGAAGCCCACTTGATTCCTGACCACACGATTCGTGCTCTGGGCCACATTGCTGTGGCCCTTAGGGACACTCCAAAAGTGATGGAGCCGATCCTGCAGATCCTACAACAGAAATTCTGCCAGCCGCCGTCACCACTTGATGTGCTCATCATTGACCAGCTGGGCTGCCTGGTTATCACAGGAAATGTAAGGAGAGAGGAGCTGGCTGAGAGAAGAAATTGGCCCAGGGACAGCTCTCAATTGTAGTTGTCCAATTCAGGGCTGTCCAGCTTATAAGCAGCTCGAGGTTGCATGCTCCCCTGGCTGCACCAACAGGGATTGCATATCACATAGGTTGCACACTGCACAAGTACCATATTTCCCCTCTCCCCAGCCCTGACCTCATTCTTGCTTCCTGTGTGTGCCCACTGGGTCAGGGGCAGGAAGCTGGAGAAGGGAGAGGGAGCCCAGAGGCTCCAGCTGCTGTTGCAGTTGGAGTGATAAGGGGAGTGGCAGCTGGGTGGGAGCCCAGGCGCTGCAACTTAACCTTTTGTGGGCCACTAGTTAGATGGCCTGGTCTAATTATTTCCTTCAGTTAAGGGGATGCTGTTACCATGTTTGAGCTCTCAGAAGCATCTCTGTAATGCAGCATTTATCTTGTCTTCAACATTCACAGGCTCGTACAGTCATTTTGTTTCCATTTAGCATTTTTTCTGATATCAGTGATAATGTGAAAAGCCATTAGTCCTTATTTCCATAGGTATTCTAGAAAATATTATAGCAAAGGAAATAGAAAGTTGGGTTTGTTTGTTTTTAACAACTAGGGTACTCAAGAGCCTGAGTCCTCTTTTTAACTGTGATTTAGGAGTCCAAATCCTCCTTGAAAACAGGATTTAGGCTTCCAAGTCACTTGGATCAAATTTTAAAGGATATTTAGGTGGTGCAAGGTCCAAGTCTCATTTTAGGCTTGCACTGAAAATCAATAGGATTCAAGAGCATAAAAAAATTCCTAGCAGGCAAAGATTTAGGCTAGAGAAGTTCAGCCTGGTGACTCTAAGTTTTATGCACAGATATGAGCAACTCATGATGGCCTAAGTTCTTTTATTCTGAACTTCTGCTTTACCTGAAACAGAAGCTGTTGGGTCAGCTATAATTAGATGTCCAGTTAAGATCTTCATCCTATTTCTGTTGAAGGTTTCATTTGATTACACAGAATTTTAGTTTTTACAGATCCATTCTTTTAATAGGAATTCAGCGGACTCTACTTAGTTTTTGTTTTCTTACAGCAATATATTTACCAGGAGGTCTGGAATCTCTTCCAGCAAATCAGTGTTAAAGCAAGTTCAGTTGTTTACTCCGCTACTAAGGATCACAAGGATCATGGATACAGGTAACATTTATAATTGTCACCTTAAAATTTGTGGCCATTTTAATGTCTCCCTTTTTTGTGAAATGTCATAAATTTACAATTTTACCAGCATACTTTATATTTTGTTTAATCTTTTGTTTTGCCCCATGTTGTAAAGAACATGTTACTGGTATCCTTATCTGGTGAGAGGTAATTGGCTATTACTACTTCATGGTGACAAAAAAGGCTGCATTAGCCCCAAAATGCTAGGATTTGGCACTGAATGATGATAGACTCTCATCAGTTCTTTATTCACAAAATATAGCTGCCAACAGCAGCATTATATTGAAGGATGGCTGATTGGAGTTACTGAGATAATGCTAAAATTGAAAAATAAACCTTTTTCATCAAGGAGTAAGTTGTTTCTAATTTCTCTTTCTTCCTTGTCAGACACTGCTCCTTAGCTGTCATAAATGCCCTGGCTAACATAGCTGCTAACATTCAAGGAGAACACCTTGTGGATGAATTACTAATGAATTTGCTGGAACTGTTTGTTCAGCTTGGGCTAGAAGGAAAGAGAGCCAGTGAGAGAGCAAGTGAAAAAGGACCAGCACTGAAGGTAAAGAGTGGAATAAGGTTTCTGTTGGTCATAATTCAGTACCTCTTGACTTTGAGATGGCTAATTATTTCTATAACGTAATTATTTTTATCTCCCATGAAGCAAATTGTTTGTACTCTTTCTCATTTGCTTATGTATTTAACTGTGAAACTTGAAACATATGTATTCTGGTGCATGTAATACAATATTAGTATAGATTTTTATGACCTTTCAAACATTGGGAAAGGTTTGTACAATATCTGTGAACTGGGCTAGTAGTCATGTGCCCATGTTTGTTTTTTAAATGAGCAAACTGAGGCCTGGTAGATCTTCAGTGAATGGTCAAGTGTATGCTAGAGGCCAGTGACAGAACTGGCTACCAAAGCCAAGAATTCTGACTTCTGTAACCTTGCTATTACTGCTTCCTAAGTGATAGTAAAATATTATGAGCCTCTGGTTCTCATCTGAGCAGCCCCACCTGTTTAATTTTTTCTAAATTATTGGTGTGGTGGACTCGGACATGGTTCCCCCCCCCCCTCACCC